ACGGTCCTCGTCACCACGGCTGGATCCGCTCCCGATATCCTGGTCGGAACGCATCCCATGACAAATCGAGGTGACGATGTCCCCGAATCGATGGGAGGCGGGGGTAGGGTTCGGATGAAAGCGACCCCCAGATGCCGAAAGTGGCCATACACATGTTCGCCGAGTTTTTTGCTTTCGCCCTTCTTCGCTCAGGCGAAGATCAAGTTCGGGTGTCGCCGCCGACACCCCTGGGGTCAACTTCGAACGGTTGCCCGAAGCAGGGCCATCGTCGACGGGGGGGCACTCTCCCAAAAAGCCGCCTGAGGGCCCCCCCCCCCCAGCCCCCCAAAGGCCCCGAAGAGGATCCGAGAGGCCGTCTGTTGTGGACGCCCAGCATCGGCTCATCGCCTCATCGCCTCATCTCCAGAGGGTCACGCTACATCGCCGATGCATCGGCGATGCAGCGCGACCCTCTGACCCCATCTCCTCGGACCCCATCTGGGAGGCCCGAGTCCTTTCTGGTCCCACAACGCGTTGGCCCACGCGCCCTTCTCGCCTCTGGACGCCAGACATGGCGACGGAATGGATACGATGCCCAACAACCAGTGACATCCAAAACCAGCAGCGGCCGCCTTCTGTCTCGAATGGACAACGCCCACGACGACACCGACGACGAACCCTGTGCATAATGAGCAAGAACTGCTGTAAGACTTCGTACCCATTGTTTCCGTACCCATTGCGCTTCCTCCGAGTCAGTCTCCTAGGATTCGAGAGGCCTCCAGGAAGCCGGGCAACAGACGGGGAGGAATAAGAGCACTGCTCAGCACGGACTACACGCAAGCAGCACGACGGGAAACGGCACACAACGCATCCGACCTCGGACGGCGCACGTCCTTCTTCTGGGGGCCGCCGCAGTGACGTGAGCCTCTTGGGCATTCCACGGACTGCTGGAAGCCGAACCTGGCGCGTGGCGCACGAAGCGCGGTCGACGGTGCACTCGCCGAAGTGGCCACCCGCCCACGAAGGGCGCGGACGACGCAGTGGCGGCGCGATCGCGGGACGGGGAGGCATTGCAACGGAGGAGGTCATGGCTCGTGGTCCACTGGTCCCCTTCTCACGACACCTTGCCGAGGAATCGTTTCTGGACGGGATAGCGGGGGCACTCTCAGCATCAAGAAGGATTCCACAGCATGAGCAGAGCCTGTCTCGATTCTGCGTAAAGAAAGATGGACGGATGTGGGCGGAGCGCATTTGAGCATTCCGCAGCCAGTCTAAGCGACAAAGCAAATCTATTATCACGCATGCTGTCGCAACGACCTGAAGCGGTGGCCTAAACAGGCCGCTAACTCGAAAGGCTGCGTGGAAACGATGGCGTTTGTGCGCGACCTTTCGCTGGCAACCTACGTGCGACGTTTCGCGCAGGCGTCCACGTCTTTGTTCGTCCCTCGCTTGCGATGCCCATCCTCCCATGACCTCGCATGTTTCAACCAAGGGGCGTTCACTTCTTGCACAAACTGCTCGAACATCCGATGGATCTTCTCGGAAAAGTCGCGCGCGGGAAACCGCAGGTCCTCTGATAGATGACGTCGATGTGTTCCAGATTGCTCTCGCCTCTGACCGCTGCCCCTGCGGTCGGAGCGTCTTGCTGTCTGTGGACGGACGCTCTGATGCCGAATGACTTTTCAGAGGTGCAGGGAACATCACAAATTGCCACGACGATGCTATGATGCACACCATTGACATCAACTTAGGGAATCCATCCAGGTGCCGCGACCACCGCCGACGTTCCGAAGGGTGCACGGTCTCCTCCTTCATCGCTACTCCAAATCGCCAGAGACGGGAGAAGACGAGGAGAATCCCCCGCTCTGCTCCACCACCTTCCCCGTAGCAAGTCCAACGATGGCGCGGCCTTTCTTGCGATCAGCATCCGGCTCTCCGAGCAACTGGTCATCCCAAAGATGCGGTTTCGCAGTGAATTGATAAGTGCAACGGGCGTCTGTGGCTCTACAGGGCAGAGAAACACATAACACTATAACACATGGGGCAAACGACGGAATCATGATACGCTGCAAGGACCCTGCATGATACGGTTGAGAATAGGCAGCGCCCTGGAGCCAACCAGAAGTCATCCTAAATGCGCCGGAACCATCAGGCGCACTCGCGTTAGGCACTGGCGTACACCTTACAGAACAAGAGCGAGTACTGTACATATGCCAACACTTGGGTGTCTGACCCGCGTCACGGTCGCATCATACCCCTATACACTTACAATCCCTGCCTGACTGCAGGACCACGTGAAAATGCTCTTTGAGCCCAACCGCGAGGCGGAACCATGCAACATCACACGCCGCTGGACGTGCATCTCCTGCCGCGGCACTTTGTTCATCGGCAGTTGCTAGTGTGGCGCCAAACAGAATGTCAAGACTGTACAAGCATGTCGTGCGGGTAAAGCCGGGGAAACATACCGTAAGAACGGCCGGATTCAGGCGCCCTCGGTGGTTGCCGCCGGCCCCGACCAGGAGACCCCCCCCCAACTCGAGACGCTCAGTGTGCGTCTCAGACGACCAACGACCCACCGCAGGTCCAATCGACTACAGGCCTTGGACTCGGTTCGGGGCACAGGTGTGTCTGGCATTGCAAGGTCCAATTTCGGCGGTGGACAAACCTCCCTTTAGTACACCTCCATTTAGTGAAAACGGCCTGGGACCGAAACCGACGGACCTGGACCCGCACAAATGACGGCCGCGACGCCCCCTCGCGAACCGAAAATGGCCAATTCCTTAATCGACGTGTCGGGGTAGGAGGTCTGTCCACCCCCGACCAATCACGGGCGCCCCCGTACTCTTTGGGACCGGGGCGGCTGCCGTCCCCAGGTCCACTGCGGTGGGGGTGGGATCCACCTTTGCGGCCCGTGATTTCTCGCTCACCGCGGAGCCGAGGCCATCTCTGGGCCAACCAGCTTCGCGCCTCGCGCGGCTACAGGGGGCCACATGCGAACCATGCCCCTACCCCCCACGATTTCCGAGGGGGAGGGTGGGGTTCGCTTCGCTCGGTAGCTCCCGAACGAAGTGAACCCCACCCTCCCCATCAGAAATCGTGGGGGGTAGGGGCAGGGTTCGCATGTGGCCCCCTAAGCAACCCCCGCGCCCTCACGCCCCTCCCCCCCCTGGAGAAGGGCCCCCGCTCCGGCCCAGACCGCGACGCGCGGCGCGCGGTGAAATTCCTTCGACGCCCCCGCCAAGAGCTCCCGAGTCAGCTGACGTCGCTATTCGCGCCGCGCGGGGCAAGACGTGCGACCGGCTTCGGGCCCTCGCGCCGCCCGCCTCGGGGAGGGGCAGCTCTTCGGCGCAGGCCGCGAGGCGCGGCTCGTGATCGCTGGCGCACATTCGCAAGGGCGGCTCCTGCAGCCCAGGCGGCCTCTGCGCTCGCAGGGGTGTCCCCGGCCGCGCGCTCAGGGGCGGGGGGGGGGGCGAGGGCGGTGGCCTGGTGACGGGGCAGGTGGACTCCCAAAGGGCTCAGGGGGCTCATCGACACACGCTGTTCGCCGTGCAGAACGGACGGTGGCCGAGTGCCGCCACGGATCTGTACGTTCAAGGCACTCTGTGCGCACTCAGAAAAGGTAGATCGAGTTACTGGCATCTTCTTAATCTACTTCGTTAGGTGTCTGATCTTTGCCTCTCTCTGTGCTCGGCTCATGCATCCAGGCTCAGACCTACGATCGGCCGCTCCTAAAGTACACTGAGGTGGAGGGCTCAGGGGCAAGTGGCCTCCCGTAGACAAGCGCGTTCCACGACTCGCAAAGTAACTACTCGCAAAAATGCCCTGGATCCGCCGCGGGGGACTTTTACGATCCATTCCATAGGAAGGAAGACACGTGCTTTTTTTCTGACGCTTGCGAGTGGGCTCTTTGTAGTGCAACACGCCCGGTGATCCCAGAAGGGCTCAGGAGCTGCCTGGAAGGCTCCCGGGGGTTCTGAGAAGCCCTCTGCTCTCCTAGAAGGCCGCCACCCGCGCCCGTGCGCCATCGAACTCCATACCTTCGCCCACGACCGTCGCTGTTTCACGAAGACGCGGGGCACGGCCTCCACCTCGAAGCGCTCGGGCGCGCTCATGTGCAGAGGAGGGCGCTGGGCGGAAAGCTCGAATCCAGCTGCGCCCAGATTTCCAGATCCTCTCGCTCCCAACCCACCTTGCAAAGTGGCACACGCCTGAACGACTATCCACCACCGCCGCTGAGGAATCCGGTCCAGCCAATAGAGGCCTCGCAACTTGGGTCCGAAGAGATGGGGTCGGATGATCGCGCGGCATCGGTGATGCGTCGGCGACGTCGGCGTGGAGAAGATCGGGCCCCGCATCGAGTCTCATCGCCGATATATTGGCGATGCGGGGCGATCCACTGACTCCCTCTGCTCGGACACCACTTGGCAGGCCTCGAAGCAAGGCGACGGGGGACCACACCCCAGAAGAGGATCTGGAGGTCCCCGGACGGTCCCTGCAAGTGGGTGGAAGGGGGGTGGAGGGGAGGCACAAAAGAGGGCCTAGCATTCGGCGGCAAGCGAGGGAGGGAAGCGAGAAGGAGATCGCCTTCTCAGAAGTCGGCGGGACTTCTCAGAGCCCTCGCGCCTTCTGAGCAGCTGCTCGTGCCTTCGGGGAAGGCCCACGACACTGCTCAGAAGGCCGGGGGAACTTCCGAGCCTTCTGAAAGAGCCTTCCCCTTCCCACTTCCCCCCCTCGCCCGCCGCCGAAGCACGCCGGGCACCCACCCTCGCGGCAGGCCCTCGCCACGCGGGCCCCTCGGCTCGGAGCGCCCGCGGCCCTCCGAGGAGGGCGCGGCGATCCTCAGGAGATCGGGCGGCTCTCGGCCCGCCGGCGGCGCTCCGCCCCGCAGAACGCCCGCGCCGAGGGCCCGAGCCGACGCCCGCGCCGCGCGGGCCCGCCACCGCTCCGCCCCGTCCCTCGGCGCGCGGGGCGCTCCCGACGCGCGGCGTTGGAGCACGCCAGGCGGCGGGCGCGCGCGCGGCTCACGCGGGCGAGGCGCGGGCCGGAGAGGGGCCCGTCCACGGGCCTGGTGGGAGGGGGGGGGAGGCTGGGCGGTCTTCTCCCCGCTCCCCCGTCTCCTGTCCTCCCGCCCATCGGCGGCGAGCGAGAGGGGGGGATTTTTGAGAAGGGGAAGGCCTTCTCAGAAGGCTCGGCATTCCCCCAGCCCTCTGAGAAGTTTTCAGTGCCTTCTGCGAAGACAGAGAAAACTTCTCAGAAGGCGTGAGGGCTTCTGAGACGGCCTTCTTCTTCTCACTTCCCCCCCTCGCTCGCCGTCGAGTTAGGACCTGTTTGTGTGTGTTTCTTCTCTCTTCCTCTTCCTCCTCCGTCTGTCCGACCCAGTTTTCGTGGAGCTGCTAGATGCTGCTCGAATGCCACTAGCGTCAGCGCGCTTGCACGCGGTATGCCTGCAGCGGGCACACGCTCTCGAAAGGCGACCACTGGCCTCGACAAATCGTTGCTGATGATTCCCAATTTTCCTGGGTCCTCGTTTTGGCTCATCAGCGCCGCGCCCCACACCTCACCTCTTCCCCCACCTATCCTCGCCTCTGCTCTCCGCCTCCTCCTCCTATCCCTCTGTCCTCCACGTTTCCATTGGTGACCCCACATGGAGCAACACCGAAGGCCTCAGTGGTAAGGTACCACATAGCGTCCCCCCGCCCCCAATTCGGCACACCCCTCACACGCATCGTGGCCCCATCTACCGAAGGCCTCATTTACATTGTGCCGCGCAACGTCCCCACGCCCGATTCGGGATAGCCCTCACACGGTGCGTGGCCCCAGACCCTAGAAAGGGAACTCCACCGAAAGCCTCACTGGCATGGTGCCGCATAGGTCCTCTCTCCGCCCACTTCGGCACACGCCTCACACGTTTCGTGGCTCCGGCGGAAGCCCCACCGAAGGCCTCGGTGGCACAGTGCCGCGCAGCGTTCCCCCGCCCATGTCGCAGAGTGCCTCACCGAATGCCTGAGCGGCAAAGTGTCGCGTGGCGTTCTCCCTCCCGTTTCGGCACGCCCAGCAGGCGCTTCGTGGCTTCACAATGAGCTGCACCGAAGCCCCCAGGGGGCAAAGTAGCGCATTGCCGGAGAAGGCGGGCACGTCCTCGCCAGGCGCAGCTGCTTTGGGTGGAGTCCATCGCCAGGCTGCCCCTCTCACTTTCGATATGGCCCCTGGCCCACGATGGGCGGGACTTGTGAGGGGGTGTGAGATACGTGGGTGAGGCGTGGAGGAAGATGCAGCTGTCCCGAGAGGAGCATCAGGGAGCGCGACTGCCTGCGCGACTGCGCTGACGGGGTCGCCACTCTTCGACGGCTTCGGGCCTCCTCTCCCTCCTCCTCTTCTATGTCCTTCCTCGCTGCTCCCCTCGTCCTCGACTGCTCCGCGACCTGCTACGACCACGTGCAAGGACGGACCTCGCGCGCGCCACAAGCATCAGGGGGGCACGGCTTTGCTCTCCGTCGTCCCCTGAAAGGTTGGCTCCCCCTCTCTCTCTTCCTCCCCCTCTCCGATGCTGCTCCACGAACTGCCACGTACGACCCCGTGCGCAGGGACGGCCCTCGCGCGCGCCGCGAGGAGCAGAAGATGGGCTCTGCTTCCCGTTTTCCTCCAGAGGGCTGGCTCTAACTCTCGTCCTCGTGACCCAAAAGGGGGTCCAGGTGAAAGGGGGTGGTGCAATAGATGTTGGGCAATATTTCACATGCACGGCGCGCCAGAGAATCGGATTGCATTCTATTGCCACTAATGCATCGCACGCGGAAATCCAGCAATACATATGCGCACCGGAAAATTCTGCACACCCCAGATCTATGGCACCCCCACAGATCTAGTGCACCAAATCGATTGCACCACCCCCTTTTCGCGGGACCCCCTTTTGGGCCAACCAGATCTCTTCCTCGTCCCCGTCTGGGCGGTGGCTGGGGCTCGAGCGGCCCGCCTCGTGGGACGGTAGAAATGCCGCCACTAGAGCCCCCCCCCCGCGGAGAGCGGGCTGCTCGTCTCGGCGCCAGCCCTCGGGTGAGGCTCCCCTACGCGGGTGCTGCTTCCTGCGCTCGGTGCGAATCTCGGCCCATTCGGTTGCCAGTCCAACCAACCTTCCGCTGGTGTTCTTCGCAATGCCCCTCCAATCCCACCAGTCCTTTGGGCGTGAGTGGTTTAGCGAGCTCTCTCTGTCCTCAACCCCCCTTCTTCCCCTTCGGAGAGGGGTTTACCCCTCCCCCTCCCCCCTCCCCCTGGGCCTGGAGAGGGCGCCCCGCGGGTGGTTGGAGGGGTCTTTTTCGACTCCTGGGAGGGCCAAGAAACGACGACCCTCACGAGGATTCTGGCCCCGGGGGGGGGGGAGTTTGGCGCCTCAGCTCGTCTTTGAAGCCAAAAACATTGATTGTACTAGGGTTTTGGCCCCATTTTGGCCTTCTGAGGGGGCCGCGCTCATCTTCCCTCATAGCAAAATCATTGATTTTACTAAGGTTTTGGGCTCATTTTGTCTTTCTCAGGGGGCAGCGCTCATCTGCGCTTCTGAGGAGGTCGCAAGAGGCCCCAAGATGGACCCAAGAGGCCCACAGGAGGCTCCCAAGAGGCCTCCAAGAGGCCCCCAAGAGGCCCCCAAGAGGCCCCAAGAGGTCCCCAAGAGGCCTCCAAGAGGCGCCCAAGAGGCCCCAAGAGGCCCCCAAGAGGCCCCCAAGAGGCCCCCAAGAGGCCCCCAAGAGGCCCCCAAGAGGCCCCAAGAAGCTCCAAGAGGCCCCCAAGAGGTCCCACGAGGAGCCCGAACGACTCACACCAGGACGAGAGAACCCAACGACTCACACCACGAGGAGCCCGAACGACTCACACCACAAGGAAGGGCCCGAACGACTCACACCAGGACGAGGCGCCCGAACGACTCACACCACGAGGAGCCCGAACGACTCACACCACGACGCGGGCCCCGAACGACTCACACCACGAGGAGCCCGAACGAGTCACACCAGGAGGAGGGGCCCGAACGACTCACACCAGGATGAGGGGCCCGAACAACTCACACCACGAGAAGCCCGAACGACTCACACCAGGACGAAGAGCCCGAACGACTCACACCACGAAGAGCCCGAACGACTCACACCAGGAAGAAGGGCCCGAACGACTCACACCAGGACGAGAAACCCCAAACGACTCAAATCACGAGGAGCGCTTTCTCTCCCTCCTCCTCCGCCTCGTCCTTCTCCCGCTCCCCCCACAAGGAGGATGTACAAGGAGGCGGGAGGAAGGAGGAACAGGGGAGATATGCGGGGCCAAGCGGACACACGCCTGAAAAACACGACTGTCGGCATGCTTCGCAAGAGTTGCTGCTGTGAGATGGGCTGGTGGGGATACGCGAAGCGTAAAGAATTTCTTCTTCCTCCTCCTCCTCCTCCTCCTCTTCTCCCTCCTCCTCCTTCTCCTCCTCCTCCTCCTTCTCCTCCTCCTCCTCCTCCTTCTCCTCCTCATCATCATTTCTCCTTCTTCCTCCAACTCTTCCTCCTCTTCCTCCTTCTGATCCTCCTTCCTCCCACTCTTCCTCCTCACCATCTTTCTGCTCCTCCACCTCCTCCTCCTCCTCCTGCCCTTCCTCTCCCTCCTTCCCCCTGCTCGTCATGATCACCCCCTCCCCCACCCCTGCTCCTCTTGCGCTCCTCCTCCGAGACCTATTCCGAATCATCCTGCCCCCCTCCCTCCTCCTACCTCCTGCTGCTGCTCCTCCTGCTCCTCCTGCTGCCCCCCCTGCTCCCGCTGTTCTCTCTCCTGCTGCTCCTCGCCATTCTCTTCTCTGCTCCTCGTCTTCTCTCACTCCTCTCCTCCGCCCTCCCCCCCCGCGGTGTGTGTGTGTGTGTGTGTGCGTGTGTGTGTGTGTGTGTGTGTGTGTGTGTGTGTGTGTGTGTGTGTGTGTGTGTGTGTGTGTGTGCGTGCGTGCGTGCGTGCGTGCGTGCGTGCGTGCGTGCGTGCGTGCGTGCGTGCGTGCGTGCGTGCGTGCGTGCGTGCGTGCGTGCGTGCGTGCGTGTGTGTGTGTGTGTGTGTGTGTGTGTGTGTGTGTGTGTGTGTGTGTGTGTGTGTGTGTGTGTGTGTGTGTGCGTGCGTGCGTGCGCGTGCGTGTGCGTGTGCGCGTGTGCGTGTGCGCGCGCTCGTGTGTGTGTGTGTGTGCGGGTGTGTGGGGGGTAATTTGGGGGGCAAGGGGAGAAACGCGGGGGACAGGAATGAGAAGGGAATAGGAGGAAGAGGAGTCGGAAGAGGAGGAGGGGGAGGAGGAGGAGGGATGAGGAGGAAGAAGAGGGAGGGAGGAGGAAAGCGAGAGGAGGGCGAGAGGAGGAGATGAGATGAGATGAGACGGCTGCCAGAGAAGGAGGAGGAGGCACAGCGTTCACCAGAAGGAGACAGACTTTTTGGGAGGATGAGGATGAGGAGGACGAGGAGGAGGAGGACGAGGAGGAGGAGGAGGAGGAGGAATGTCGTCATGAAACAAACATTCCAAATCGGCCTCCCGGCCCCTCCTGGAACCCATCCCGGCTGGCTCCTCGCGAGCCCCGCCCCAGCTGCGAAGATGAACCACCGAAACGAATCCGTCGCCGCCGCCGCCGCCGCCGTCGTCGTCAGGCCCACAGAGAACGTATGCGCCCAGCCGTGTGTGTGTGTGTGTGACGACGGCCCACTCGTCCGCGAGGCCGGCCTCGTGTTACAAAGGCTCGCGCGAAGCGCGCTCCCGAAAACAACCTGGGCTCATGCGCGTGCACGCGACGAGGCCCACCAAAATCGGCAACGACAACCGGCCTGGTCGGCGGCGAGTTGGGTCCAATCGGCGGTTAAGCAAACGAAGGGCTGCATCCGTCGCGAACCCAGGCGCATAGGGGCACGGGCGGGCGAGGGGCGAGGAGAAGGAATGCCGCGGCTCGACGGCGGCAGGAGCATCCCGAACGTCGATCGGCGGTCCAAACGAGGGGCCCTGATGGACAGAGCCTTGCGGACGAGGGGCCTCAAACAGGGCAAGTTCAACTTGGGACCCCTTCCTACCCTGAGGGGCCCCACCCTTCACTGCCCCGTCTTTGGGGCCTCGAGAGGACGTCGTCGTCGCCGTCGCCCACCTCCCTCACTCTTCCTCCCAACGGGCCCCCAGACCTGTCACTTGGGGGCGCACTGTGGCCAGAATCTCTCTGGGCGCACCTGGCCGTGGCGATTGAAAAACCCTCAAGAAAGCGGCCCCGAACGCCTCCTCCTCTTCCTCCTCCTCCTCCTCCCCCTCCTCCTCCTCCTCCTCCTCCTCCTCCTCCTCCTCCCCATCCTCCTCCTCCTCCCCCTCCCCCTCTTTTTCCTCCTCCGAAGCGAGGGCGTGGCGACGACGTGGCCGCCGTCATCGACGATCCCGCTGCCTGCTCCCCCGCCAGTGTCCGTGCACCCCGCCGGCGTCGTTGGCCGGCGCCAGTGCCATTCGTAGCGCCAACCCCGCCTGGGGGCGCTGCGCGGCGTCATCGTGCCCGGGCGACGGTGGAGAGCGCAGAGCACCACACGGACTGGCTCGGGCAGTGGCCCTCGCCGCGCGCATCATCATCGAGGAGGAGGAGGAGCAGCGACAACACGAGTCAGAACGACGAGGAGGCGGCACGGAGGCACGCACAAGGCGGGGTTTCGTGGAGGCCCTGCTGTATTCTGAGGGGCCTCTTTGGGAAGCCCCTGGTCCCTTCCAAGAAGCAGCCGTTTTTCCTAGAAGGCCGCCCCCCTTGCCACTCTCCTTTCTGCGCGCCACTGAGGACGGGTAAATGTTGATGTTTTTGGATAAGTTTTGGGTTTCGTAGGGCTATCGTGGCCAGGGCCTGGGCTGCAAGAGCTGTTCGGGATGGTTTCTGGGCGTGGTTTGGGGAGCGGGCCCACCCGTCATGCATGTGCCGTGCACGCCTGCGCGGCGCCGCGGCGCGCGCGCGCGCACCTGCGATCCCTGGCTTGCGCAGCGAAGGCGTGCGCCCGCGCGCGGGCCTGCCCTGCGCGCGCGCGCTTGCCAAGCGATCCACGCACACCTGCAGGACGCGCACTTCGCGCGTGCGCTTGCCGGCCGCCGGCTGCTTCCCTGCTCCCCGCTGCCCCCCTACGACATCGCGCCCGCGAACAAGCGAGCGTGTGCGGCGCCCACAGCCATGCTAAACTGAACCGAAACTAAATCGAAAGGGCGCGCCGCTGGATGACCCCAAAGGGGGGGGGGGTCGGGACCCCCCTCCCCTTTCCCCGATCCGTCGTCGGGGAACCCCCCACCCTCCCCCCTTTTCCCGATCCGTCGTCGGGGAACCCTCCCCCATCCTCCCCTTTCCTGGTCTGTCGTCGGGGACCCCCCCCCCTCCTCCCCTTTCAAAAGGGGGGGAGGGGGTTCGACCCCCCCCCTCCCCCCCCTTTGCCCACCAAATTCGACCCCCCCCCTTTCGCCACGGCGCCCCTGGTCTCCGGAACCGGACCCCGACCCCGACCACCACTAACACTAATCCCCACCCTTACCCTAACCCCCAACCCTAACCCCAAACCCAACCCCTAGCCACAAACAGCATTCACTACTCATTACGCACTACTCACTACCCACAATTCACTACTCGCTACTCGCTATTCACTTCGCACTACACACTACGCACTATTCACAATTCAGTAGTCACTACCCACGACTCACTACCCACTACCCACTACTCACTACTCCATACTCCGTACTCCGTACTCACTACTCACTACTAACTACTCACTACTCACTACCCACTACTCAATACTCACTACTCACTAAACACAACTCACAACCTACTACCCACTAGTGACTAAACACTACTCACTACCTACTAAAACCAGTATCCACTACTCACTACTCACACTTCACTACTCACTACTGACTGCCCACAACTCACTGCTCATTATCCACTACTCGCTGCTCCCAACTACCTGTGCAGTACTCACTACTTACTACTCGCTTGTCCCAATGCCCTACTCGCTACCCGATACGCACTATTCACTACCCACCATTCACTACTCACTACGCCCCCTCTATTCACTACTCACTACTTCCTACTCCCTAATCACTACTCCCAACGCACTATTCACTACTCACTCACTACCCGTTGCTCAATACTCACTACTCACTAAACACTGATCACTGCCCACTACTCACTACTCACTAAGCACTATTCACTACCCACTAACCGCTACTTGCCACTGAGTACTTACAAGTCACTGCGCACTACGCACTGCCCACAACTCCCTACTCACGATCCGCTACTCGCTACCCATTACGAAATATGCACTACCCACTACGCACTACTCGCTACTCACTACTCCTTACTCACTAGTCACTAGTCGCAAACTACCCACTACTAACTACTCACTACTCACGACTCACTACTCACGAATTTCTACTCGCAGCTCCCTGCTAACTACCCACTACTCAATACCCACTTCTCGCTTCTCACTGCTCACTACTCACGCTTCTTTACTCACTACTCACTACTCACTACTCACTACTCACTGCTCGCTACTCCCTACTCGCTACGCACTACTCCCTACTCACTAATCGATACAGACTCTTGACTACTCCCTTCCCGCTACTCACTACTCACCAGGCCCTACTCGCGACTCGCTACTCACTACTCCGTACTACTCCCTGCTCGCTACGCGCTACTCACCACTCATTCACTACTCACTATTCTCTACTCACTGCGCACTACTCACTACTCACTCCTCGCTATTCGCTACTGTCTACTCCCTCATCCAGACTCCTTGCTTCCTAGTCATTGTGCACTACACGCTACTCACTCCTCACTCCTCACTACTCACTACTCACAATCCGTTACTCTTTATTTCCTCCCCACTACTCACTACCCACTACGCACGACGCACTGCTCACTAATCTCTACGCACTACTCACTACTGCCATTCCCCTTTTGCCCACCACTCACGACTCACTACTCACTGCGCACTACTCACTATCAAATACCCACTACTCGCCAACCGCTGCTCAAGACACTCTACTCTCTACTCACTTCCCGAGAGGCCCCCTCCCCTGCCCCCTGTTCGGCGCAAAAGGGGGGGGGGGGGGGTCGAACCACCCTCCCCCCCTTTCCAGCGCCAAGGGGGGGAGGGGGCGAGGGGGGGTCCAGAACCCCCCCCCCCTTCAAGGGGGGGACGGGGGGGTGGCGGACCCCCCCCCTCTCTTAAGGGGGGGGGTCGAAAATCTCACCCCCCCTTTGAAGGGGGGGAGGGGGGGGGTTCTGCGAGCACACCCCCCCTTTTGTGTATTCAGGGCCATCCACTGGCGCGCTTTCCTGAATCAGTGTAGTGCTTCTGAAACCACAGCTCAAGCTAAGAGGCCGCCAGAAACAGAAGACTGACACATTCACCCCTGTGAAAATGGAAAGGGAACGGCCACGATCACGGGCATACGGCACGCACCCCCGCCCCGCAAGGGCATCCGCATCTCTCTCCTCCTGCTTCCGTTTGGTGTGGAGTGTCACTGCCGTGTCCGTCGCGTCCTTCCATTTGCCCCTCGGGCATGAGCCATGTTCGGGCGCAGGCCGTCGGCACCACCACCCCAGCCCGATTGCGCGCCGCCCTCCCGCGGTCCGCTCCTCAGCCTTCTCTTGATTATGCGCTGCTTCGCGATGCTCCGTTTTGCTCCCATGGGTCGTCGTTTTGTTTAGGGCTGTTCTGAGTTTGTCCCCATCAGCCCTCGCTTGCCCTTGTTTCACTTCGTGCTGCTCTGATTGCTCCCCATCAACCCTAGTTTGCCCTCGTTTTCCTTCGTGCTGCTCTGGGTTGCTCCCCATGTCTCCTCGCTTGTTGTTGTTCACTTCGTGCTCCTCTGTGTTGCTCCCCTCAGCCCTCGTGCGCTCCTGCCTTGATTCGTGTTGCGCTGCTCTCTTGCTGCTCCAGCACTCGTTCCGCTCCGTGCTGCTCTGTTCTGCTTCGTGCTGCTGGGATGTGCTCGTTTTAGCAGATCATTCGACTTCAGCGTGGCCTTACTGTCCGAAGTGAGATGTGCTAGGGCCACCCCCAGCCTGGACCTGCAATGGCGCCCCTCTGCTAGGCTACACTCGACCAGGATAGTAAGGATGCGCGGTAAAGATGCAAGGATCTTGGAACGCAGTGCTGACGTTTTCCGTGCGGAGCGCAGCAGAATGCCGAAGGGTGCCGAATACCGAGAGGGCAAGGATGCAAGGGTAACCTTGGAAAGTTGCCCCATCCTGACTATCATGTCTGACTGTACAGCCCAGAGTGAACCCAGGCACGAGTCAACGCCAATGCGCGACTCCCAGGGAGCGCGCGCGGGAGGGCCAGACCCGAGCATGAATGCCGCTGCTGTCGCATCGCGCTCGGCCACCTGGGGACGCCGCCGGAGTGGCCTCTGGCAAAGGCCACTCCGGCGACAAGTCTCTCTGACCTTTGTAGCAGGGACCGACCATCCCGGCATTTCTATAGGCCTACAACGAAATGTTCTGAGAACCCCAAAAATTTTAAAATAACAACAATAGTGTTCTTGGAGCATAAGAGCCCGATGTATTAAAACAAAACAGACTCAGCCAGAAATGTTCTAAGAACAAAAGATGTTCAGAGAACACTTCGTGCAAACCACAAAAGGTTCTTAGAACATGTCTGGGTGGGCTTATAGGCGAGCCACGACGCTTCGCCACTGCTTGATACTTGGGGGCGGCCAGGGGGTCCGAACTGGATGGGGCCCCAGACAATCGATCCAGAGGGGGGGCAAGGCCAAATCCGCTGAAAGTCACTCCCCGCAGGCCCACCTGGTGCAGTGTTCCCCCCTGGATCCGTTTGCCCCAGGGCCCGAACGCGGTCCCCTGGAGGCAGAACAAATACAACACCTCGAGCCTGCCTCCCCTGCCTGCTCGCCGGAACCAATGCTGGACCACCTCAGACCCCCAGCCGGCTCCGACCACGCACTGCCTTCGGTCTTCGCGCCCCTTCTTTTTGGGGAAACCGACAAATAAGGATACCGCTTGCCTCCAGATCTCTCCCCCGGTGCGTTCTGACCAGGATTCCGGGGCAAAACCAGCGGTGGCAACGAAGGCCTCCCAGGAGGCCCAGGAATGCGAAAACGGGGCGCGGGGGGTAGCGGTATGGGAGCCTCTTCCGTGCCGCTCTGCGGCTGCGGCCGCTGCCGCCCTCGAGGGCTGAGCATCGTTTATACGATCCCTATCCCCAGCGGCGTGGCCTTGGCCCCACTGGCCGATTCACCCCCACTAGATGGGGATATAGGCCGTTCCCTTCGGTTTTCGAGGGCTGCATCCCCAGCTCGGGGGGTACTTTGGTGGGGGTCTCGAAGGTCGAAGGGGATATTGAGCTGGGACCGACCGTCCCGGCATTCCTATAGAGCTACCACGACATGTTCTTAGAACCCAAAAATGTTCCAAGAGCAAAACAATGTTCCTAGAACATAAACTCGATAGGTTAAAACAAGACAGTCCCAACTTGAAATGTTCTAAGGACATTTCGTGGGAACCACAAAAGGTTCTTGGAACACTGTTTGGTAGGGCCATAGGCACACCAGGACGCTTCGCCACTGCTTGAGGGATGGGGATGGGCGGTCGGTTAAACGATCCTGAAGGGCGGACGGTGGGCCTGCTGCCAGCAGCGCCCCGAGGTGCGCGCGAGCCGCCCGCCGCGCGGCCCGCGGTGCCCACGGGTGCGCCGCCGGGTGCACCGCCAGCCGGCTGCGAGAGCGCGGAGGCCGCAACGGCGGCCCCCGCGGCCCGGCTCTGCTGCGGGCGCTGGCCCTGGCAGGCGGGGGGGGGGGGGCAGCGCGCGGATACCTGCTGCTCCACCTCCTCTTCCTCCTCCTCCTCTCCTCCTCCTCTCCTCCTCCCCTCCTCCTCCTCCTCCTCCTCCTCTTCCGCCTCCTCGTCCTCCCTCCTCCACCTCCTACTCCTCCTCCCTCCTCCCCCCCCCCTCCCCCCTCCGCCCTCCACCCTCCTCCTCCTCCTCCTCCTCCTCCTCCTCCTCCTCGTTCCGCCCTCCTCCCTCCGCCATCCTCCCTCCTCCCTCTTCCTTCCGCCAGGCGTTGGCCAGTCAAGGGGGCCGCAAGCTTCGCCAAGCTATGCGCATAGGCCTGCGAAGCTTCGCTTTGGGCATCCCGCCAGCGTTGCCAGACGAGGCTCGTGGTCATCTAGCTCGGTTAAGACCCCATCAGATGTCAAAGGACTACAGGCTCATCGAGCACAGCTCAAGAAGAACCTCGAGGTCTTGAAATGCCAGATTAAGTCTCAACAGGCCCTCAAGTGCAGCCCAGCCAGACTGCACAAGCTGACCGAGTGCTCAGTGCTGCTCTTCATGTTCGTACACGCATAATAACCAGGCAAAGATCGTTCCCCAAATCAAGATCGGTATATCGAGAGGGCCAAGAAGCGTGTGACAGACGCTACGGCCTCAGAGGAGGCAGCGCGAGCGCCGCTTGCAACTGCCTCATCCAAGGTCGCACTGCAGGAGAACCTGGACAAGGCTCTGGATATCATGAAAGCCTTCTAGACCATGATGGAGACGGAGGCTACCGAGCGCGAGGCGCAAGCCCAGCGAGCGGCGCAACCATGCAGTACATCCACGTCCTCACCCTCGCGTGACAGCAGCACCGAGCACGCCATTTCAGCAACTTCCAGCATCGCCAACGCCACCGACACCTGCGATTACTCCAGCTGCGACCCAACTGCCGCAAGTCATCACGAAATCGCAGTCGGGACAGGCCACGCTCACAGCCCAATTAACACAACTGACGGCCCGACTCAGTACACTGCAGATGACGCTCATGGCTGCTGCAGGTCCCATCGACGGCAAGCGCTCCTGGAACGACAACGGCAGCAACACCAGCCCTGGGAGAGGACGGATTGCCAACACTCTCACCGCAAGAGCTCGCCCGATTACGTTCCGCTACAGGGGAAACCAAAAGGTACCGACACCGCTACTCTCCAGACCTCTCCCGGCGTGCCGTCTGACCAGGATTTCAAGGCGAATCCAGCGATGGGGACTAGGGCCGCCCAGGAGACCCCAAAAGAGGAAAACGAGGCGAGGGTAGCTGGCTGCAGGGGGCATGGGGTACAGCTTCCTCCTCCGAGCTACGGGCCTGGCCCCGACCGACAACAGGAAGGCCAGGTCCGCCGAGCTGATCCCTCGGGTCGCGGGCCGGACAGCACTGCCACGGCCACGCCGTGCACCCGCGGGGGCAGCTCGACGGGCTGCGGCGGCCCATCCCGAGGAGCCCGCGGGGACGTGCTCGACTCCACCACGTAGCAATGGATGCGGCCGGGGTCTCCCTACAGCGGGAGCCCGACCACAAGAAACCTCAAGAAGCCCATCCCCCGAGCCAACAATTTCCCCCAACTCCTGACATCATGCTCTCCCAGTCGCTGCCGCCCGCTGTTTGTTTTATCTTGCATGGCCCCTCACCAGAAAGATACCTCAGATGCCTTTGGGAGCGCATCTGCTTCGAGAGCGCAGCTCGTTGTCGCGGCCAGCGCTCTCACGCTGGACTCCAGGGATTACCGATCGACTAAGACGACGGGCCTCCGAGTACCAGGACGTATGGCGCACATCGAACACAACCTCGCGAGTCTGAAAGCACTCTTGGCAGGCATGGTTGAGACCAGATTCCCCCGCTAAGGCACGTCCAGGGTGGAGTACCACGTCGTTCATGCAACGGGAGATACGATGCATTGAAGAGATTCGGAAGATGCTGGATCAACACAGACTTGTCCATCCACGACACCTTCCGACTCACTCCCAGACATTGCAAAGATTTGCACGCTACTGCTCGAGTGCTCAGTGTGGCGATCCGATGTCAGCGTCTCTAGCTTAACGTTGTCGTTGGGAATGGCCCGCACAGCACCGCAGGCAAGTAAGTCATCAGATCTTGGTGGCAAAATCTACGTTGCAGGCTGTGCCAATTGCTCGACCCCGTCGTCCCCGAGAAATGTCGACGCGACGCCAACCGACGGGTGGGGTGGGTTCCAAGGAAGCCATCGGAGGACATCAAGCTGAGCCCGAGAACTATCCTGGTCAAATGTTCTACGATCTCGTGCTCGACAAGGGTCTCTGGGTGCCGTCGACGAACTCAACTTTCGGGGGCTACATGGTTTCCGCCATCGGGTCAGATCAAACTCCTAAAGGCCAACACAGGAAAACGCATAGACTACAAATGCTCTAAACCGTGTTAAGTTACTTTAGCTTTGGTGCTGGTCTCCCTGGATCTCACCGATTCCATCATGGATCACAACGCAGTCAGTGCAATCATACGTTTCCCGTTGGCAGCGACGCCGAATAACCAGCGCACGCCTTTTCCGCAGATTGTGTGTGACCCCTCTGCTTTTGGAGATCCAGAGGCCAGAACCGTTTCTGATGATTACGTTACACAGCATGGACTCCAGTCCGCGTTCAAGACGCATGTCAATGGCCATTGCCATGTAGTGGTCTCTGCATCACGCCATCAACCTTGATTTTCCATGTCGAGCCCGAGAGAATGGCCGCAAGCCACGGCAGGCATGGATTACAATTGCTACGTTGGAAGATATGGACACTCGTACCTTTGGGCCTCGACATTACCGACCTTTTGGGCTCCCGCTGGCGCAAAACGGTCTGCCTTTACATCTGGGAGGCGCCGGTAGGTGGAGCTTGGTATTGTAACAGGAGGGAACTCTGGGCGAGCTCTTCTAGAAAGTTTTCAGGATCATCTTCAGCTTCGATCTCTTGGGTTCTGCTGGGCTTACGACACTGGAGGGACGTCTGCGAAGGAGTCTGGGACGCCATCTACGCCAGGGGAACCCTCATCGAGAACCAAGGCCTCACTCGGAGCCCCAAGCGAGGCCCATCCCGCAGGTCGCTTCACATACTTGCCCCGCCAACAGGTCGCCTCGACGTGACGGCCAGCATATTCATGGGCGTTTGGCTCGTCGAGGCCCTCACCATCACCAAGACGCGCGCGCTCCGCACGGCATGTCTTACTAAGGGAGCCAAGCACGATAACTTGTCGGTCCCGACGGACGCCAGAGCACACGACTCGGACATCGCGAGAGATATCACCAGCACGTGGTCCCTCAAGGAACACGCACGCGCTTACCAGAGACAACGTGCAGTCGGCACTAGTGTTGGAGAAATAATTCCACGTCCCAACCCATCCCCATGTTTAGAGGACTTGACGACCAGCCAATACAATCAGAGCGGGAAGCGATGGCAGCGTGGACGCAACACCTTGCGGCCACAGAGGCGGCCCCGGCTATCTAGATCCAGGATCAAGCTTGGCACGAGAGCCAGCTGCCCGCGCTGCCGCGCGGCCTGCGTTTCGACATTCCTCTCGCAGCCAGAGAGGTACCCACCCATGACAGAGCTGAGCGCTAATGCCGAAAGGCGGAGTCAGCGACCGCGGGGCTGGGCGGAATCCCAAGCGCTATGGTCAAACAACTGTTTAAACCGACCTCTCAACTCCCCTTTTCCTGCGTCGTCAAATCTTGCCTCCGAGTCCAGGGGCCGATCCGGAGGAAGGGGGGAATACTCCTGGGGGCTGTCCAAGAAACAAGATCAAGGACACCGAGCTTCATATCGCAACACATTTGGATCCTCTCCACAGGGAGAGCGCTCCAGGGCCATTTTCCGGGAAGGTATCAGTCCCACATGCTGGCCTACGTGGGCCCGAGACAACTCGGGGGCATCGCTGGGCTCGGGGTCGATCTAGGAGGCCCCGAAGTCCGCCCCTTCCAGCAGCTGGCGAAGTCACCCTAACTACCAGCGATGTGTGTTACCCCTCGACGCTGTCCAAGCGTTTCAGGAGTCTGTCCGCGAGCTAATTTCCCCCAAAAGGATCGGAAGGCTGCAGGTCTTCCGCCAGAAGAACGAGCAGAGTTTGAAGAGCACTCACGTCGACAGGGTCCTATATATATATATATATACGCATAAGTGATAGATACAGAGAGCCATGCTCAAGGAATCTGACGCAGGATTCATGCCCAGGTCTCCGACGCCTCTGACCAGAGCTGGTTTACCCTACCAGGGGGGTAAACCCTTGCTTTCCGCCAACAGGGGTCCAGGCCTGGGGTCTGGACCAATCAGGAGGAAATTGGTTTCAGCTGCTGACGTTGTGGGGAGCACTATGAACTCGTACAGGCCAGGCTCCTGGAATATAATATCGAAGTCCGTTTTCCCGTGTCAGAGCACGGAACCTGCAGGCCAGAGGCTAGTGAAGATGACGCATACTTCGGGCACTCCATGGACCTTTCTCTCTTCGACGATGCCATGTTTACGTTCTCAGGCAAGGCGCAGACGTTGCTACACCACGCTCCTTTGTTCGCGGCCGCGATTCTCAAAACGTTTGCAGAAATCGGGATGCGATTGCACACGGCCGGGGGCAAGAGCGCCTTCCATTTCCAGTTCAAAGGAACAGGTTCGGAGAAGGCCACATCGGTACGTTAGCGAGGTACTAGAAAGAGGTCTTGGCTCCTACACGAATCCTGGGCACCGTAGCGCCACACGCGGTCCGCCAATACAATCACTCGGGGGGGGGTCTTGGACGATGCCGGGGCTCTCATGCGTCGTGGAATGTTCTGAAACGAGTTCTCAGGGACTCCAATCTGGAGAAACAGGTGGGCCTCGTCCTCGTGGACTCCCTGATGTGCTCGAACAAATTGTTTAACGCAGACACTTGGCCGTCGCTCTAGGACGCGCACATGGCATCGGTGGCAGGCGACGTTGTGCGTATGTGCTGACCAGTATACTACAGACCTAGGGAGGACGAACATGC